TTTTTCTCAGTGGACAACCTTAACTACTGAGAGCTTCGTAGAGTAAATGCTACCGGATGATTGTAAATAGAGTAACAACGACAGATGCATGCGACGAGACGTACGGCGTGGAGGGAAACGTTCTTGCGACAGGCTCTGCGCTGATGCCATATTTTTTTCGGCGCCCACACCATTTGTGCGCGATCGTACGACAGGCTCGCCACCACGCGTACATGGCGGGGAAGAACAACAAAGAGAGCAGAGAGCGGGGGGGGGAGGTACGAGAGGGTCGGGTGGTGGTGCCTACAAGCGAAGATCCCGTGATAGTGGAGGTGAGTCCTGCTACGGTAGCACATTTTGGCCCATCATATTTGGATTCTTCAGAAAAGAATTTCTAACATCGACTCCGAATTTGAACGTCAGTTGCGTTTCATGTAGCCGTTCGGAAGACTTCTCGCGTCGTACGCTCACATGGTGTCAGTGTCCGTCCCAGGCTGAGATATCGCGCTTGCATGTTTGAAAACTCAGACGCAATTCATGCACCCCTACTTGCATGAACCAGGTATTTTTCGGTTGACACCGACGTTTGGAGCGCAGCTCTCCTGGCGTACGCCGTGCATCCGTCGACTCGGGATGTGCGTATCATCGTGCGACAACAGAGCGGGGTGACCGGTAACACCAATGTCCACTGCATGGACGTCCTGCAGCTTTTCTAAGATCTAACGGCAATGCGAAATTGGCCATCTTCGTTTACCAACTTGCAGAGGGTGCTTCCGATAATCTCCGCATACGTTCTTAACGGGACTGACTTTACTCCAGCGCTTATTGGCTTGAAGGCATCGAGCATGTTCCAAGCATACTACGACGCGTTGAAGGATGCCGGCAACCACAATTTTGTTCTACCGCTGGGTTCCGAGCAACGTGAGGGGGGGTCGGTATCTGGGGTAGACCTGGCCAAAGAGGAAATCGGTAAGTTAGTCTCGCTAGCGTACTTACAAAACATCGCAAACTCCCTGTGAACGCCCTTCCGGGACGCCAGGCAAGGTCCGAATACCTGGAAGGGCAGGTGGATGACGTAGGGCCATGGGTCCAGGCCATCAGCGAGCGCACGACCGAACATTGTTTTGGGAAGGGGGACATTAAGGCTGCTGCCCCAAATTACGACGTCATTTAACAACTGCGTGCTACGCATGGAATGGGTGGTGGAGTATTGGCTCTCGATTGTGCCCGCCCCTTCCGAAAATGCGTCCGCCAGGTATCCGATACAAATTCCCGACTGGAACGGCAAGGGGTACATTGCAAATCCGGAGTGCGAAGGGGGGGCTTTGCTGTTGTAGCGTGAATTGCCGAGGGTGACCCTCTGGGCGGGTGTAGGAATTCACATCGTGTCGTGCAGATGTTCATCCGAGAGGGGGGAGGGTCAATGTAGGGGCTGCGTTTGCATGCAAAGGGGTGGTTCAGGTCGTTGTTCACGGGTGCAGCGAGGGTCTATTCCTGAGAAGGTACTGCCCGACGATGATGATAGTGGCAGCGAGTCCGAGTCTGATGAAGATGAAGAATCGCCGATCGTGGAACGTTTGGGTGGTTTCGACCAAGAAGGGGATTCGTCGTTTGGGGTGCACTCCGGTGTGTGTGGATTCTCCGAAGTGGATGCGCAAGAGTACGAGGAACAACTCGCCAACGAAGGGTTGGGCGGGGGTACGCAGCAGCGGGTGATGTTGTCGACCGATAATATGGCAGCGCCGGTTAAGGAGATGTCCGTTTGATAATTGATAATATTTCGTTGTATTCCTTGCTGCAAATATGTCAACAACAGGACGCAGATCCCGAAGCACTGCAAAAAAATAGTTGGGGCAGTTCTTCACATGACGCCACCCGGTACAACTGCTTTTGGTAGTACACACAAAACGAGAATAGGCACACACGCTCCGATGCCGCGGCCAGCCCGCCGTGCGCCGCGAACCCAGACAGGGAAGCTGCCGAAAAGGTCAATGAGAAATTCCGGCACACGAACGAGAGCGTCCTCGCCACCCAACAACGACAGACACTGACCCCCATATACTCGAGTCGGGTACGTGTTGCTAGAAAATCGCGCAATCGCAGCAGTGGTGCATTTCCCTCATTCCTATCGCACTCACGAGGTACTCGTGCGCATTACCGTTCAATGTCGGAACATCGGCTTGTGGGGTCTACAGCAAGAGGCGCGCCCTCTGACACCTAAGGTTAGCTGAAGAGTGACGTAATTGTAAGCGCAGCACAAGAAAAAAAAAATCCATGTGCGATTTCGTCCTCCCGGACTGTCAACAACCCATTCTGACTAGGAAGAATTAAAAGCTTCGTGCTAAATATCACTACAACTAGAGCCACTACCAGGAGGGTACCACACACCCCAAAATTCGCCAACCCTTACGTGGGCGGGTTGGTACCGGGCCCTGCTCATCATCATGCATAGCGCCGGGGGGTTCGCCTGAAGCCAACCTTCTCGGTCGGCACAGGGTTCCAGAAACGACAGCGGCAATTTCAGCGCCACGCTTTCCTTCGCCACCGTCAACGCCGCCTTGACAAAGCCCAGCGCGCCCTTGTACGGGGGGCTCGTCACGACCCAGTCGGGGTTGTTTTCCGTTGTGTGCTGCGAGGTAGTCGTCCGCAAATGACGCCGAGCTCGCGTCCAGCTTCGTGTCCGGAGACAACCTTAAAACAAAAAACAGGTAAGCGAACAGGTGGGATGCAAAGGGCGTCAGAATATAAAACAACACTGTCACGTTTTTGTTTTAGGAAAAAGGTTTTTCAAAGAAAAAAAAAAACTACCTCCGTCACTGTCGGTCACTTGCAGACTACGAATTTCCCCGACATGCTTCGGCACAAATCGGATACAGTCAAGCTTGAGTTGCTCCATGTGCGTGTACCGAAAGCAACATCTGTGCCGTGAGTACACTCGGTTTGCGGCCTATTGAAACCATGGAGGATTAAAACAACGATACATCTCGCTTTACACAGCCAAACTTCGACGATAAAAAAGGGCTGGACAAACAATGAGCGTCCGCTGGTGCGAGCCTACCTACGACGGGACCTACGAAAGAAGGCACGTGAAGTTTAGAGCAGATTGCACAATTAGGTCCGTCGTATGTAACTCAGCAGCATTGAAAAAAGATTGACTGTTATTCGCCTAGCCGGATGTACATGCCTGTAGCTCGCATCCTTGCGACGGACCACACAAAGACAAACAGCTTTCATGATGCGCCTACGAATTACGTCATTTCGTGCTGGGTAGTTCAAGGGTATGTTACGCTAGAACACCCAGCGCTATGGATGGCAGGACGGGTGGCTATCTAGTTCGCATACCTCACCCCAAGCACACAAAAAAAACGCGCAGCATCCCCTCACCTCGGTCGTACATCGTTCGTGGGTACTTGGCAGGTGTCTCGAAGGCGAGTCACTGCAGCATCACCCGGCCCCCCGCACATGTCCAGCACACACCCGCTGATGCTAACAACACCCAACAAAGCCTCCAACGCCGCGAGCGAAGTGCAGTAGCGATCAAAACACCGGCGTTTAGCTGGTTGACAGGTTCAGGAGCGCACGTCCACTTCGGCCCTCGCTTTGCTCGGCGTTTGCTAGGCGCCCTGCTCTCCTTTTGCTGGTTCAGGACGAACANCAGCACACACCCGCTGATGCTAACAACACCCAACAAAGCCTCCAACGCCGCGAGCGAAGTGCAGTAGCGATCAAAACACCGGCGTTTAGCTGGTTGACAGGTTCAGGAGCGCACGTCCACTTCGGCCCTCGCTTTGCTCGGCGTTTGCTAGGCGCCCTGCTCTCCTTTTGCTGGTTCAGGACGAACAAATAGGCAACCCCCACGTTTACATAGGACGAGCTTGTCTATGTCTGGATCGCCGCACTTCAAGGCGGGGAACTTGTCTGCCACGCCGGCTGCCTCCACGAATGCCCGGACATTACCCCCGGTCCTTTCTCTCATGCAGCAAACGTCAATTCTTGCCGTCGGTTGCCGGCATGCGCTGCAGCATTCCTCCGACATCACCCTGTCCGACAAAAGAGACGGCAGCAATATTCTACGTGTTAATTTGGGAGCTTCATGTGAAAGAAAGTAAACCAAGGGCACACACACAGCGTCCTGTTACTTTCATGGCTAAAAAAGCAGTGCAAGAGAGGCACCGGGGCCTCTTAACCTGCCGTACCGACTAACAGCGGTGCAACCCAACCCGCGTTCTGGCAAGGTCCTCCGCGTTTTTTGAGGCACATCTGCTACACCGATTTCACGCGCTGCAGTGCTGATCCCAAATCGTGCACATCGTTTATTCAATCGTCATCTATGGATCCGGTCAACTGCCGCTTCAATTGCTGCTGCAGAGCATGTTTTGATGGTAACCCAATTAGCTGAAAGTTGCCTGGCAAAACTGGTGTCACCGTAGCCCGAAACTTTGCTCTTGTGCCCTCAAGTCATACACCCCCGTCTTTCTCCACCTTTCCTACATTAAGATGCCATTGAACCTCTCAACGGTGTATTATACAACTTGATCGAAGTTGCCGCCAAGTTTCGTGCCGATCCGAGGTGTTGGTGTGGAGCACTGCGCTGGTGAAAAGGTGGTAGTGGTGGCCCTCGGGGCGCCAACGCGGGGGGAAAATTCATGCTTCCCCCGCTGAAACCCGCGGCGTTATTTTTTGTGTGTACTTTTTTTTTGCTTTCCTGTAGGCGCCAACACGTGTGCCTCTGCTCACAACCAAGCTATCATCCTGAGCTTGAACTAAAAGAATAAGACCAAACACAAGGAGGCCTTAGCTCCGACACTACATCGGCTACTACAGCTGGCACGAGTATCTTCACTACTCATCGCACTCGGTACAGTCGTTCCATTGCACAAAGAGAGGTCAGTGTGTGTGCATCGCTGCATGAGAGAATACCTGTCAAGAGCAGTGATTCCCTTTCTCGAGCCAGGAACCGTGCCATGAACGGGAGCTATACGTAATTACTGATTACACTTAAGACGTCTACGGGTACGTGCTAACGACTCGTTACATATGTACAGCAGTAAAACCGGAGCAGTCAGTTAGTTCCCCACAGCAGCACACAGCAATTTATTTACAGCAGTAGTACAGGAAGAGAGCAAAAAGTATGGCAGTAGTATACAAGCAGAGGGCCGGGAAACACAAGCGGAAACGGGTTACTGGAGACAAACAGGGCATGTCCGCCTCCCTCCCTCTCTGCCCACTTGCCTGGTAGTCGTCCTTGTGCTCCATTATGTGCCAGCTGCTCCATATCAGTTGTTGAACGCGTACTCGTTCATCGATGCGTACAGCAGTACAGTATCGAGAAGACTACATTGAAACGACATCGTCCGTGGTTCGAGGCCGGCCCTCGACCACTTTTCCCCCCTTTTTTTTTTTTTATTGTCGTCTTGCTAGTCTTAAGCACCTTGCCGCGTGCGTTCCCAAGATACCTTTAGCTTTTTTGTTGTCGCCCGCAATCAAAAGTTACAGAGGGCCAACTGCATCGGGCTCCAGGACCAATACCACTGTACATCTATCCTCGAGAGTGTCGCTGCCTACAGATGTCCGCAAGGAAGCACGGAGGTGTGTGCTCCTCCACATTTAGGTGCCGCGGCTAAACAGCCTGCTGCGTCTTGGGAGCAAGACCATGAACGAGCGTCGACATGACCACCCCTGTGCTCAGCCCTGTGCTGTCGCGATCGCTGCTGCGTGAACCTCGTCTGGAGCATCTCCTCTCGATCGAGAAAAAGTGCAGCAACAGGAGTCACACCACATTTTATGCTGTCCATTGTGACACAGACAGTATCCAAGTTAGCTCTGCTGTTGCCCAGCCCTTGTGGTACGGGTTGTGGCGCCCTTGGCTGGGGATGTAGTACCGATGCTCACAACTCTGGAAAGCTTCCAAACATTTGGAAGCCATGTAAGCTATGAACTGGTTCCAAATTTTCGGGCCCAGGTTCGTTCCAAATTTTTTGAAGAAACTCGGAGGAACGCCTCCGTACAAAATCAAAATTTCGGAACTTTGGAACTTTTTTGTATTTTCTTAATACTATCACACAACCAGCCACACAACAAATCCATCCCTATCTATAGAATTAAGTACAGTCGACCCCGCTTTAGAGACACACCGCGTTTTTTTTTTGGAGTGTCTTTTTTAACGCGGGGAAGTGTCTTTAGGATTCCGGGGCCACTAACTCACCGTCCCCGGGGTCAATGGAGGTGTAACATGNAACACGTCAATTGAAGGCCGCAACAGTACTGCTGCTGTACTCCAATACTGTACACATTTTTGAATTTCCCCCCACCACCGAAACGCGGGAAGGAGTACAGCACGACCTATTGTAATGTGTTCGGCAGTGTGCGCTGGTGTTGTTGTAGGCTTTTCTTATTATTGTCAAGGCGTTGTCCTCACGGTGAACATCATGCCCGTGATATCGCGAACACACCTGAGACACATCAGTTTGTTGGAACTAGCTCTGATACGATACACGCAAGTTACCTGCCACATAGGGACCAAACAAACCCAGTCGACCCCTTAGAGGGATCTGAGGGANAGGAAACGGTCGGTAGCGCAGACCACAACATACAAAAAATCGGGCAAACCCACCGAAAAGAGAACACCGCTCTTCCCCAAAGGTCAACACGAGGCAAAAACACAAAACAAAAAATGCCAAAATTTAACTCCACGAGAAAGGCAAAAAAATCCCAATGAATGTGGGCTGCCAAGTGTGTGTGTTGTCCTCGAACACCAAAAACTACGTCGCCCACACATCCCGAAGAGTCGCCTGCACCT